GTCATTTTGGGTGCTTTTAAGAACTTGAGATTTTACTCGGCTGAATTAATAGCAAATTCATTTTGATGTTTTTCATTTGCTAATTCCAGCCACAGCATTGATTATCTCTGAGCAATCTGGAAACCACTTGCCTTACATTAGATGTGAAGCTGGCATCTCATTGTCCTAGGAGGAAGGAGCAGATGGCTATTGCTCTCCCTTCAATCCTATTCTAGTCAAAATGGTTTGAGCCTTCTAACTTGGAATTTTCTTCTGTGTTCGTATTTTTGTAAGGCTTGTTGGTAGTTTAATACTATGGGTACTCAATGATGAAATTAGGTGGTGCAAATCAATCATCCATAACCTTACCAAATTCTTGGGCATCTTAAGGTGCAAGTCTGGCAGATGCAACCGGTGTATTCTATTTATAAACGGACAGAGATGTTTTAATGTTATAAATGACGTGAGTCTTTGGATTGGAGCTCCCTCTTCTCTGTTGTTCTCTAGATAAGTAGCTTCCTGTTTTCATTAACTTTTAGACCATGAGTCGCAATGGCTTCTTAGTGTAATAATCAGAAGGGGTTATATCTGAGCTGTATTTTGGCGACGCTTAGAAAAAGCTAGTCAAAATCACAAGGGACGAAGATATAAACCGCTACGATTTTGCAAGCAAGATGTAGATAGGAAATCTTCGGTTAATCAATCAGCTTCAATCAAGTTTGACATGTTCTCTTATTAGGCATATGTTGTAACCCAAAATCGCTGACCACCACGCATTTCTGCTTCCTCTAATGTGATATGCAAATATGGAAATGCGACAACTGCAAACTGCAACATTGATTTCTGAAAATCAGATTGTGTCAGAGATATAACAATTCATATGGTAACGTTTTTATGTCAAACACAAATAAAACATAAATCAAAAAACAATCCTAGTTTGAAATTTGAAGTGCCCAACAATCATAATATCAAGTCTACTAGCCAGACAATACTCGGGTAGCGTTGAGCTAAATACAAGAATGTTGAACGAATGAGGAACTTGAACATTACAAAGGCACCAGACAACTAAATCCAACGAAAGCATTAACAGACCATTTTGTTTCTCACACAAACACTAATTGCACAGCGTAGCCCCGATATGAATCCATAAAAATGGTTGGGAATGCCAAATCATTCGTAACACTTAAATGATAAATTTTACTGAACCAGAAAAAAATCACATAATATATTTCAACATTCACATCCAGTTGACCTTGGGTGGCTGCTGCTTGCAACGTCAATGGTGTCAGGCAAGTATCTTCAGGAACAAAATATCCACCATAAGAACATGAGAAAAAAAAGAAAGAAATTAAGTGTAAGTCAGACAATACAAAAACAAATGAAATAAAACTATTGAAAAATAATTTCAGAACCCAAGCTCTTAACAACTTTCAGTATGGGTCCTCAAAAATAAATATTGATTGCAAATATTGCTAATTCTCAGTTACCAAAAAGAAAATTCACTTCATAATTTGCAATAATCAAATGTTACAGACAAAGATAATTGAATATCGCATGAGATAACCTAAAATTGCAGAGCAAATTTAAGACGCAGTTATGCTTTCAGCTGCTGCCACTGGAGTTTGTTCATTCAACTATCGAATTGCATTTCTATATGCAGCAACTAATTTGTCTTACAGCAAACGCTACTAAAGTACAGCTTAAGGTTTTTTCCATAATTAAAAATTAACTAGGAATGTATACATTTGCAGGAATAGAACTGTTTATGATTTTTAACTTACATTTCTTCCTCTTCCTCACTCTTTAGGGCATTCTTTGCTATGCATTGAAAAGCTTCTTCCACATTAACTCCCTCCTTGGCTGATGTCTCAAAATATGGAATATTTCCTTTTGAGGCACACCATGCTCGAGCCTTTTTCTCAGACACCTAGAGTGTCCACAATAAGCAGATAATTGTATCTTTGTAGAAAGAAAGAGAGAGTATGTAAAGCAGGGAGAAAAAAGACATACCACTCTACTGTTTCCACCGTCCACATCAACTTTGTTTCCCAAAACAACAAATGGGAAATTCTCTGGATCTGAAGGGCTTGCCTGCAAGAGATTTCTGAAATCATCATTTCTCTACTGAATAAATCCCGGAGAGTTGGTTTGATGGTTTTCAGCAGAATTCAGTTCAGAATACATACCTGAATAAGAAACTCTTCTCTCCAGTTGTTAAGGTTGTCAAATGATTTCATTGAGTTGACATCATACACAAGGACACAGCAATCAGCACCACGGTAGAAAGCGACACCTAGGCTCTGGAATCTTTCCTGCCCAGCAGTATCCCAGATCTGGGAAAAGAAAATAATGTTGATGCATTTCAAGCAAAGTGGCCACTAAAAAAAGCTAAAACAAGACCTGAATCTCTTTAGAATGTAATGCTACAATTTGCTAGATAAACGCCCAACGGTGGTCCATAAGGTTGCCTAATATGATAAACCCTGATTGATGAAGACAAAATTCATGCAGTGATCAACCTAAGTCCAATCGATGAGTGGAAAAACATAATACCCTAGTCAATCATCACAAATTTGCACCTCGTCAACAATATAACTAGAGAAAAAGAAACCATCTACGAACTTACAATGAATAGAAAAGGGTTGCCACTGGCAGTTCTGAATTAATGAGATCATAGTGCAAAGTAAGATGCATTTGTTACAGATCTTAAATGTAATTAAGAAATCATGGTTAAGCTCTATTCCATCAAAGCTAAGCTTGGTTCATGAGCTAGAGATAAAAACCAAGCCTCTTCTTCGTCCAAAACACACCATACTCAGCATGAGAAATTAAATTCCCAAAAAAAAAAAAAAAAAACCAACAGCTGAATCAAGCTATTCAAAATGTCAAAATGCTTGTATTTTAGCACAAGAAAAAATGGATATTAACTCTGTAATAAATCAAATATAAAGCTCAGTATGAAATCTAACCTGTAGGGTGAAAAGCCTATCCTCAAACTGCACTTCCTTTGTCAAAAAATCAGCCCCAATCGTCGCCTTATACTGATTGCTAAACTTCTTATTTACATATCTAAAAGCAAAATGTAAAGGCAAACAAAACCATAACTCGTAGTGATAATAATTACAATAAATTAATAAGTAAATACGACTTCAATTTTTTTAATAATTAAAAAAAACGACTGCTGCAGGATACTGATTCATCAAAGACGTCTTCCCTACCCTGCAAATCACAGATCAATCACAATCATAGGCATTGAATTAAAAAAAAAAAAAAAAACATTAATAAAAATTCTAAAGAAAATCACAGGCGAAATTAGCTAGAGCATTATGACAAACAAGACCAGTAATTCGAATCGGGAGATCCGTACGGAAAACCCTAGAAACGAATTTTTGGAAAAGAAAAATACATACGAATCTATAAGGATAAATATACGGACAGGTTTAAGAAAAAGAAACTAACTAACCCGCTATCGCCGAGGATGATGACCTTCAAGAGGGTTCTACGGCGAGACGGCATCGTAAGAAACACTAAAGAAACGGCGGATCTATAGATGAAGAAAAATTTTCTATATCTAGAGAGAGAGAGAGTGACTGAGGTGCTCGTGCACTTGTTTGTCTGCAAAGAGAAAATTCGGTAGGAAAATTGACCGAACTTTCTAGCGTTTTTTGCAAAGTTTCTTCTACTCCTTTTTCTTGTTCTTTTTTTTTTCCCTCTCTCTTCCAAGTCGTGGAAATACCGGACTGACCTGTAACTGGCATCTTCGTATTTATATTTTGGGTTTTTCAAATATATGGGCCGGAAATTTTGCGTGACAGCTTGGACTGCTGTTCCGTTTAACGGGAGTGTTGCTTCGGTTGATTTGTTAGTAATTGTTAGAAAATACTAGAGTGACGAATGCTTTTCAACTAGCTCTCGTAGCTCAGTTGGTTAGAGCACCCGTTTAGTAAGCGGGAGGTCTTGAGTTCGACTCTCACGAGAGCAACATTTAATATTTAGCCAATTTTCCCCTCTTTTTCCCTCCCATTAGCCGTTGTATGCCACTGTCATTCCAAATATATTAGTAAATATATGGTTGTTCAAGGGAGTCGGTGGCCATTTTTATCAATGTAAGGAGACAAATATTGACAAAAAATCACTTGCCATTTCATGCTTTTTGATTTAATGAAAACCATTTATCCAAAAAAAAAAAATAGAAATTAATTTGTTGGGCCATTGTATAAGTAAAAATGGCATAACTAACTCTATAGTATAAGAGAATAGACCGAGTATAAGAAACAGCATAAATTAATCTTTTTTTTTTTTAATTCCAAATATAATATACAGTTTTTTAAATTAAAATAAAATATATTTAATATGATAATTTAAAATAAATAATTATAAATTAATATTCGTAATGATTTCAATAAATAATTATAAAAAAAATTTAAATTTAAAATTTTTTCGTTAAAAGAAAATTTTAATTAATTAAATCAACTTATATAAATTAATCGCCTGTACCTTTCACTGCTTTACATTAAATTTGTGCTGTCAATTAAACAACTTATATAGACATTGGCCGAAAAGAAATAACAAAAAAATCTTAAAATTAGAACTTAAAATAGAGATTCGGAGATGATTCAGCTAAAAAAAGGAAACTCATGGTTCTCAGAATGTTTGATGAAGCTATTACCTAGCAAAAAAACTCTCTTCCTGTTCCTTTCACTTTGAGAATCCTCTTACCTTTCTCCTACAGGTACTCTATTTTTCTTTTCTTTCTCATTTTTCTCATTATTTTCCAATGCATTGGCTAACAGCAATTTTTTCCTATATATATTTTTTTCTTCATGGCTAAGCCTATGGTATGCGCAGTTGTAATCAAGATTGATGATTGTTGATAGGATTGTTATTGTTTTCTTTTACTTTCTATCTAATTTCTTTGTCGAATGTTTCATTGCAGAGGTGTTTGAAAGGCATCGTTAGGAGGAGAGGAGGGGTTTTTCTGGCACCTTTTAAGGATAACCTTCGTTCGGGAAATACCCCAAATGGCTTCTTCCCCAGAAGGTTCTCCACCTTCACCATCTAGTTCATCACCACCTCCATCATCGACAGATAAATTCGCCGCCGTCGCACCGCCACACATTCAGCTTCACCTCCACCAACCAAAATCGTCACCACCCCCGAAGAGTCAAAGTCATCTCCACTCCTTCATCTTTATCTTCTTCACCAACACCACCACCACCACCAACACCAACACCAACACCACCACCACCACCCTCATCATCATCATCACCATCACCATCACCACCACCACACCTCATCATCACCATCACCACCACCACCAACACCACCCTCGTCATCACCACCACCACCACCTTCGTCATCACCACCACCACCAACGTCATCATCATCGCCACCAACACCACTTTCGTCATCAACATCGCCACCAACACCACCCTCGTCATCATCCTCACCAACAACACCTTCTTCATCATCAGAATCATCATCACCACCAACACCACCTTCGTCATCATCAGAATCGTCACCACCATCTCCATCTAATAATAATGGCAGCAATCAAAATAATGCTGCCACAACTAATCCTACTCTATCATCATCATCATCACCACCACCACCACCAAAGTTGACATCCGAAAATAGCTCATCAACTCTTTCTTCCTCGCCAAGACTGTCACCTCCACCATCATCTACTAATATTGTGAGTGAATCAGAATCGGATACCTCATCATCGCAGTCTTTGCCAATTATAATAGGTGTTTCAGTTGGCGTTGTTTTGTTGTTTACTCTCATTATAGCGCTCATTATTGCTACATGCAACAGAAAGAAAAAGAAGTCTGATAATCATATGCAATATTACAATAATTCTACGCCACCACAAGGTAAGTATATTTCAAGAAACTAATTGTAATCCCTTGTAATACGAGAAAAAATGTTACTGTGATCTTTCTAAAAAATCATGCTTTTTGATTAATAATGCATTAATTTATAGGTGGTGTTAGAAAGGGAAATGCCTCAAGCCTAGCCCAAGCAGGACAAATGAACAAGAGGTACCAAGCTAATGATCACCTTGTCATTAATTTACCATCGCCTCGTGGTGGAAATGCAGGTCGTGGAGGATGGCAACAAACACCATCACCACAAGGGCAAACACCATCTTCTAGTGAAATGAGCTCCAATTTACATGGTCCAACTTTGCCACACGCATATCCATCGCCTTTAGGGCTCAACCAAAGCCCTTTCACCTATGAAGAGCTAGCAGTCGCAACTCATGGGTTCTCTCAAGCTAACTTGTTGGGTCAAGGTGGGTTTGGGTTTGTCCACAAAGGAGTTTTGCCCAACGGCAAAGAAGTAGCTGTTAAGAGTCTCAAATCTGGTAGCGGACAGGGTGAACGTGAATTTCAAGCTGAAGTTGAGATTATCAGTCGTGTCCATCATCGTCATCTCGTGTCCCTTGTTGGGTATTCCATGGCAGGAGATAAAAAGATGTTGGTCTATGAATTTGTGCCTAATAAAACTCTTGAATTCCACCTTCAGGGTATGCAACGGGATAACGATGATATTACACTTTTTGGCCACAACTCTAATTACTCACCTATGGATTCTGTGATTCAGATAAAAAGACCATCAAATAAGATTCTTTGATAGACTAGAGATGAGTCAAGCTTACATTATATATGCTAGAGGTGTAACTGGTCATATCTTATGCTATCATTGTTTGATTGCAGAGAAAGGTCTTCCGACCATGGACTGGCCTACTAGGCTCAAAATTGCTCTGGGAGCAGCCAAAGGCCTTGCATACTTGCATGAAGATTGTAAGTATAATTTTATATAGCATTAGTAAACTCTCTATTCCACATTCCTTCCTTTTCTTTTATAATCCATTTGAGGAAACACAGGCCACCCTCGCATCATTCATAGGGACATCAAATCCGCCAATATCCTTCTCGATTTCAGTTTTGAAGCCAAGGTATGTTACAACCTTGAAATAAATTGATTGGATTTGTTTTGTTTGTTTCAGCTTATTCGAAATGTATATTGAATTGCGAACCTGCAGGTGGCAGATTTCGGGTTGGCTAAACTTACTCAAGATGACAATACTCATGTCTCAACTCGTGTCATGGGAACATTTGGGTGAGGAAAATTGGTTCAATACTTTGAATCCACAAGCTTTTGGTTATATCTGATTAGAGTAATTTTGATGAATTTTCTTATAATCAACAAATGCAGTTACTTAGCTCCTGAATACGCATCCAGTGGCAAGCTGACAGATAAATCTGATGTTTTCTCCTTTGGTGTTGTGCTCTTGGAATTGATAACTGGACGTCGGCCTTTAGACCTGACCTCAGATATGGACGAGAGCTTAGTAGAGTGGGTGCGAAGTGTCTCCTTTTTACTATATAAGTTTAATGTCTTGATACACCAGATGCTGACACGGAAAAATTCAATTATACATTCATTAACAGGCTAGACCCTTATGCGCAAGTGCAATGGAGAATGGAAACTTAAGTCAATTGGTGGATCCGCGCCTGGAAAACAATTTTGTCCGCCATGAGATGGCACGCCTGGTTGCATGTGCTGCTGCATGTGTTAGGCATTCTGCTAGAAGGCGGCCGAAAATGCGACAGGTATATGAATCCTAAATCTTGTTAGGAAATTTTTTCAAGCACAATTATGGTCCTAGCTAGATCTTGTTAACTTTCAGGTTCTTTGGAAGTGAATCAAAAGATTGCATGTTTAAGCACCTTATTTCCCCTGAATAGGATTTGCTACCTAACACATTATATATAAGTAATGCTTCTTCAATTATAAATTATCAAGCAGTTCTTTGGTCTTATTCACCAACCACATGTATTGGAGATTTGAAATGCT